AAACTATCTACACTGGTGCATAAATATTACTGTATGCACAGATCATAAATAGACAAGGAACATCATATAGCGTCATCGACAGTCCTAATCGTTTTGGTCATACTCCATACTTTACATCTTACTTCTTATTCTATCGTGTACCAAATTAAAGCAAATCTCAAATTTATTCAGTAAGTCATACTAAACATTGTGTTATCGGCCAAAAATTCCATATTGTCAGCGGGTCACGAATTGCATAATAATAATAGGTTTCCATCTTCGGTATGGATACGTGTTGTTGCACATGAAGTTTAGATAATATTTTCCAAACGTTTGCAACGTTGCTTTTACAAAGAATTCCTGCTTGTATGACTATTATAATAAATAACGACTGTGTGATTTTATTCTCGTTACCGCGAGGGTGGTTTTCGCACCTTTATTATCCGTTTGGTTTGGAGTCGGTTAGACGATCACGCGTCACCCCAAGAACGTGCTTATTCCTTCGATACGCACAATGTACAATATTGTATAATAATCGGTACGATTGACTAACGAGCTCGGCAATTAGTCGACTGCTCGGTACAACTATAATAATTGGAAACGCGCTATGGGGATTATGCTATCGTCATTGTGACGAGCCGGCCGAGGTCTTAAACAAACGACGGACGTCTTGCGATATTATATTCGATCAGCAACCATGGAAACCGAGTACAACCGTGTGTGTGTATGTGTGAACGTACTCGTGTCGACAAAATAACCGACCTCTGTAAGACACAAAAATATGATGTACAGACCTTCCGGAACTCTGTACATAAGCCTGGGTATTCTCGTCACCGTAAACGGATTGCCAATTCTCATAGTTGTCACTGTGGGGCATTACCAGACCACCACCACCCGTCATAAGCAATTTGGCGTCAGTAAAAACGGCCGTGTATTCATCTTAATATGTCTGAGTAGACTGTGTAACCACGACGGTCCCACTATAATCATTCTGGTCCACAATGTCCAACATTTTTGCAATAACAACAGAAAATATAATACACATTGACACGTTAAGGGGTTGTTTTCGTACGTTCGTGCAGCTTATTCAATTAAAACCGCTCATCACGTCTTCGCCTCCCTAAGACGTATGCGGTTTATGTGATCATTTTCTATTGAAATAATTCAATTTTAGTCGATGACGGTAGTTATTTTTCCGGTATAAACGTGTCCAAACGGTGCATTAAAGAGTTTGTTGATTTTAACTATACCCGTGTCCCCTGAAATATTATAGATCAAGGCATTCATTCCAAGATCAGTAAAGGGAGGGTTGGGACACTAAAAGCCTTGCTGACAGATGTGTACGGCAATGATGACTTATGTGATGCGGGCTTTTGACTTTTGACCCAGAACTCGATTTCGGCCATCGGTAATAATAATAATTGTCGAGCAGGTTGTTATCGGACGTTAACGAGGGGCGGTAAATGATGAACAAACGGTTTTGTTTATGATCCACTCAGGCCCGTGTGTGTCAATTGACGACGACACATAAACACATTATTATTACAATATAATATTATTATGTTATACATGACTGGCGATGACATCGTGACCGATTGAACGACCCATCCACGCGTTACACCATTTGGCGTGATCGCCGTGTCGTGTGGATGGATACGCCGTGTACCTACATGGGAAAAAGAAAATTATTATTTATCTTTCTTATTGGTTTTTTAATTTTACCACACGATTTCTGGGCCGTTCGAAACACGGTTGTTGGCAAATAAAAAATATTAAAACCTATTATATTATTATTATTGTAATACGCTGCTGTTGTAGTCCCAAAGGACTTGTACATAAAGAGCAGCGAGCACATGACGACAGGAACGTTGTTATATTGTTATGTACACTTAGTTGTGTATGTGTTATTATGACACACGTGCCAATTCGCATGTAATCGTTTAAATCTGATAATATACATAAACATACTTAGGTATACAAATGGACGACCACCTGTTGTCGATCCGGTCGGCAAGTGTTGTTTACGATCAAAGAAATATATTTTTGTCCGTTGCTGTTTACACGAATTTTTATATACGACAGTTGTTATTTATTTATTTTTTTTACCCGTTAGCTACCGGGCTAATTGTTGATGTAGTTGGCCAACTTGTCAGAAGTCTCCGGCCGATGATGTAAGAATATCACTGGCCAACGGAGAACCAGTCTGATAAATTTTGTCAATCAAAAAAGTTGTTTCGCCCGAACAAGTGGCGACCGTCTTGTTTTTTTGTTTTTGTTTATTTATTTTTATTTTAGGCTCGGTGTCAAAATTGTCCTTTTTTCCCATTGGGCAATACGCACTCAGAAGATGTCAAACGTTTTGCCCGCAGTAGATTTTAGTATCAGCTGACACGTGACGACACACTCCGTCGGTATTAATAATTAGATAACACATAAGGAAACGGTCATGGAATGTTTCTTCTTCGGTTTCATGATGCACTATATGTACATTTCGATATTTTCTCAGAGCAGGTGTGCACGTATTTAGGTGTTGCACAAGTATGCAAATTATATAAAAATTAGCTATTATAAATTAATAGCTGTCAGGTATTTATATTTTTATCACCCAGTCAGAAAATGGTTATTGTTACTTTGGAATATTAACTGCGAATACATTCTTTACATTCGTCAACCAAAACCGTTGGGAAACAATATGGAATTTCAATCCGGCAGATACCTAGATATTTTTATGAATCTACTTTCAGTTTTTACCAAAAAAAAAAAACAACGCTTCCCGACATTGCTTATTATCAAGTACAAAATATCCCATATAATTTAATCGAGGAATTTATATTGATTGGAGATCAATTATTTTGTTTAAAAAACTTTATATAGCTTTCGTAAAATGTCGGTTACCGTATAAACGAGGAATTTAATATTAAAATAAATCAACAACTTTTTTGATCGCCTCGGCCGAAAAACGCTAAAAAGTTGCACGATAATGCAAATTTTTTTCCGGCATTGAAAGTATTTCTCGAAGCTTGTTTTGTTTATTCAAACTGAGTTGGTCACGATCCGGGTGAGTTGCATACCTACTGATAATTATTAGTTGTTTGTTGTCAATCAATAAATCATTTTTAACAAAAAATGTATAATATTCATATTGTCAATAGTTCAATTTTAAATTAAAAATTGATATTTTTTAAGTGTAATATAAATTGTTGTAATCTAATTTCTTACTAACGTGATGACATATATCTGTTTTTGACGTTTTAGACCAAACAGCCAAACATATTTTGAAAATATGTTCAAGTTAAATTTATTTAACGACAAGAAACTGAAATCAATTGATACTGGTTATATATTTAATAAAATCCCTTTTTTTCTTAAATATTGCCCTTAACAACAGACCACAGTCGTTTGTTTTTTTTTCATTAGTTTAGTGCGTTGCAAAAATTGCGTTTTGTCCGTTGTAAATGATAAATAGAAAACATAACACCACTATGAATCATTCTAAAAATAAATAATATACATTTTTAGTTCGGTAATAATATAAGTTACCGGAGGCGCACAAGTGCATTGCTATTTTCAAAACACAATATTTTATTATCTATATTTGCTATTGTAAGTTTAAAAACTATATTACTACTACTACAAAAAAAAAAGAGGGTTTGTCGCACCGTCGGTCGGGTATAGTATAGTAATATGTAATGTACCTACTCGAAATTGGTTTATTTATTTAATTTTGTTTTTGTTCTCGTTCCATCGCACAATGTGTTTTAACTAAAGGTTGTGTTTTCATTTGGGAACGAGATTAGCCGTGGTCCAAAAAAAAACCAAAAGGGCTACTAGTACTTATACTTTATTATTGTCGTTAAGCACCACGTCGTCCATATTCGGATTTACTGCAAATTGAAAGGGCGCGACTAAAAAACCCGAACAAAAAGCGCGTTTGGTACTTAGAGGAGAGAGAGGGGAGGGGTGGGAGGGGTGGAAAATGCCGATTTTTGTGTATCGCCTCGGCGTTTCCGCTTCGGTCAGTTTTTTTTTTTTTTGCCTCTTTTTGGGTAAAATACGATCGACCAGTAGTGTAGTGTGTATCGGCACACAAACAAAACCCACGTAGCCGGAAACTATAATAGAGTAAGTACACTGGCCGCCTTTGTGTTGGGCCACTTTCGGTGAAAATCTAACAGTGTTAAACGCATTTACTCGTGTGTTTACGGTACATCAGCCACGGTGGCGAAGGGTGGAGAAGGGGTTAGGGTTTTTTTTGCCAGGTCCGTTTTTGGGTTTGACAAGGCAATCGTTTTTTTTTTTTTTTTCAGGGTTTTGCACGAGTAAAGTATAAAAAAAAAAAACGTTATTAAAAACATATAGTTTTATACGTTGTATATGAAGGGCACAGGGGAAGAAGGGTAGTAGTAGTAGTCCGTTTATGAAATTTTTTTTTTTCAAATAGTTTTTTTTCAATATATGCCGCAATTTTTTTGTCATTCATGTCAATAGACTGTTTAAATAAATACAACTTTTCAGTAGAATAGCGTTTAATGTAAATTTTTTTTTGTTCTTATGCAAGACGGGGAAGAATTAATGAATTTTGTTTTTGCTATACTCTAAAATTGTCATACATGCACTACAGATGAAGGTACCCTTCATCTCATATACACATATTATACATGTTATTTGTGTGTGTGTGTGTATGGGAAATAATAATTGTATTTTTATCGGAAAATGACGGAAAAGAGATTTATGTACATATTATTATTCTTGTACGCTTTTGTAGATACCATTTTCGATGACGCGCTTCTTTGGGCCTTTGGCATATTATACCTAATACATACGGGTGATTGTATGCAAAACATACCGAGGGGGTGGGGGGGGGAAGGGTTAGACCTAAGTCTAATAGATTTCCCCTTGAAAAACTCGTTTATATGAAAATGTCGAATAACGTACAGCGAAGAAACCGTGTCGTCTTATTTTGCCGGCGTTGTTGTTTTTATTTATTTTTTTAAAATGTGTATTTTTTTTTTTTTTTCCAGGCGTTGTTTTTGCCACATCTTACACGCTTGCCGTTCGGTCGGCCTATTGAAATGACATTCAGGCGAAAACTTCACTAAGCACACACGGTTACGGGCGACTTCATATCCACCACCGGAGAGAGTGTGTGTGTGGGGCCAGCGGGTATTGCACGGACAGACAGACACACACAAAAGGAATACAAAATATAGAAAATCCCAGAAAAATTAACCGGGGCCATGGTGTTGGAAATGAGATCGGGCAAGATGAAAACGTTCTTGCTGTGTTTTCTGCTAAAAAGTAAGTAGTAAGCCATAAGTACACATTTTTGGCCAAGCACACTACTAAAACCTACATAGTTCTCTATTACCAAACGCCACAACTAGCTAAATAATATTTCTCGCTCTCGTTATTTCGAGAAAAATAAAATCCTTTTATGTAAGTATATTCCAAGAAGTTCGACGAGCTATATAATGCGGAGGGTACCATTGTTCGAGACCTTTGACTATAATAATAAAAATAGGTAATATTATTATTATAGCATCGAATGTCTTGTACTGGGTAATACGATACGCAGCATTATCCCCGATCTTGCTTTATTATTGAAGAAAAGCTTGTTATGAATAAACAAATGCACTATACAACTCTACAAACTCGACAGCTAGCTTGCTAATATAATATAATATATATATATATATATTCATTTAAGAACTAATTATGTTTGTGGTGAAAAATATTTTTAAAACTCTAGATGAGATGTAGATGTGCAAATGTAAAATCGTATTCCGCCCCACTTTATTATTAAATAAAAGCCTGTTATGAACAAACAAATATAATACTATACAACTCGTGTGTACATCGTCGTTTAGATGATGACACGTTAATAAGAGAGAGATAATAATATGTCTCTTCTGTGACTTAAGCTGATGCGTTTGGCGATGTTTCACAGGAAATTGCTATTTAGGAGCGACTCGAAAACAACATGACATGTAAAATAAAGAAAATACAAGCTGTGTACGTACCATGGTAACATATTATAATACTATGTATTCCCTTCACGGACGAGCAACAAAGATTACCTTACAGATAACTGTTTTTTAACAGAATTCAGTGGGCGCTTAACACCGCGTTTGTACCTATAATATATTTTTATTATTACCATTGACCTTTGATAACGCGTTCTTGTTGTTTGCTCCTTGAAGAGTAGTCCGAGTTCATTCAGAAACGATGTAAGTGCTATGTGTTAATAAAATCTTCCCTGCTTGCCTGACTTAGCTATGGTTCGGTCATCGTTGATTAAAAAAAAAATCCTGTCTACAACATTTTTATAGCCGTTATACTATACTATAGGATATTTCATTGCAATCTTGTTTTACACACTCTTTAATTGTACAGCTGAAAACTTTATTATAGTCACGCTTGTGGACCGCATGTTCCTAAGAAATCACTATATTCTGTAAACTGTTGTTGTCGTTCAATTTAATGTTGCAAAATGTATTACAGAACATCTTAATATAATGTGCAATGGTTATACAGGAAAACTTGGTACAATAAGCATAAATATAATTTCAAAAATATTTAACCCTAAACAAACGATTTTAAAACAATGTTTATTGAAATATAAATACAATTAAACGATATAATAAAATGTAATAATGTTGAATTTCAAGAGAATTTTTTAACGTTCAATTTAGGCCATAAGTACATGCGATTGCACCGGCTATTATAAGTAATTTTTTTCTTATAAAAATGTTCACGAATGAATGAACTTAAGGTGAATATAAATACAAATTTACATAATACACTAACGGTTTGGCAACGCTATATTATGTTATTTACTAGAATCCTCCATAGTGTCACGAACGGGAGAACAATAGAATCGTTGTGGGAGTATTTACCTGCGATTACGGTGTGAGTTTAATTAGTCAGTCGCCTTAGTTGTTTTGATTAGTGAATTCAGACCCAAGGTTAATTTCGAATTGCCTTTGGTGTAGTACCTACATAGTAAAAAATATGTTATTTTAGTAACGATGTTTACCAGCTATTGTAGCTATTTTCAATGTGAATCATGTGGGATTTTGATAATATATGTATGTGCATAAAACCACAATAATTATGAAAAAAAGTAACCCAAATCAATGTAACGTAGATTCTCACACGCTTTTAACGGCGGTAGAACTGATCCTTGGGCACATAAGTGCATTTTATTAGTCATGTATACAATGTGCAAATCAGGTCAGGGAAAAGAGGTTCACGGTCAAAAAGCGTTGAAAATAAAATATAATATAGTGTGTGTGTGTTTTTTTAAAAATAATATTTTCTAATCCTTCGCGCTGACATATGTTTAATCGACTTGTCGGTTCGACGGATTTTCTATTTTTTTAAGCGCACCTAGTAATTTTTCAAATTATATTAACCATTGAAAAAAAAAATGAATTTCCAAGTGCGCGTGGCGGTTTTTGCTGCAATCAAATCACGAGCAAAATATATTATATTCTTATGGAGCTACTGGCAAAATAATAATTTGTTATTATTATATAGCCGAGTTGTTGGAGAAACTTTAAAGCCGTTGCGGTTTTAGATAGACTTTTGTTCTTGAAAACACATTTACGGCCACGCTAATGGAAATATGGTTTATTTTATCCCCAAGATGTTCATTATAATATTATAAGCGACGGCGTATTAATGCAATTTGCTTGTAACTTGTGAATTATACACAGTGGTTGATTATGATTTAAATTTCTAAAAAAATTATCTATATTTATTTTTTTAATTTACATAGTATAATTATTATTCAGCGGGCGGTCATAACCGAGTTCAATTTTCTTCCAAAAAAAATAAGACTAACGTTGTTTTTGATTAAATTTTTTTCTCTTCGATTCCAAAAATATCCGAAATTAAATTATCGTTAAAAATGGACTGAATAATAATTGCTCTGCATAAGTTTATTTTTTAGAAGTCTTTAAACGATTTTATTTCGGATAAGGAATCGTCTTCAGAAAGTAAGCAAACAATAATCGTTGGTTTTACAAGAGAACTTCACTTAGGTAATAAGATTATAATTCCACGGTTTATACTTAGTCTGATGTACGTCCCGAGTTTCATAAAGGAAAGTAGTAACATTCAAAGTATCCATTACTTAGAAGCTTTACTAGAATTCACAAGACCGTGAACCTTAAGGCGAATCCATTCAAACGGTATTACGGTCAAGAGAGTATTAAAAATAATAACAAAAAACGAAACGCTTTAAAAAATACCTACTAGTATAAATTGTTCTGAAGTATTGTCATTTATAATGATATTAGGGAAAAATAGGGTAGATTTGAATGGAAATTATATTAGGTATTGTTTTATGGCCAATTTCAAGTTTGATAGATCCAACCTGTAGTTTAAATGTATGCACACATGATAATATTGTTCCCAACTTCACCAATCAAATAATTTATAATCTATAAATTTTGAAATAAATCTTTGTTTTTGTTCAAATGTATTAAAATATGCCCAATAAAATTCATTTAATTTATACAAAACTATTTGTCTTGATTTAAAGCAAAAAATAGAACTTAAAAATATAATATACAATATTTCATAAGGTGTAGGTATTTGGTTCTTGATTATTTTTTTTAAAAGTTAAGCGCTTTTAAACACTAAATTTAGTAAGGCATATTATATTTCATTAATTTTTTTTCGGTTCTTAACTCAAACTATTTTATGACCTTAAATTCAAAAAACAATAAACGTTGGGTAAGATACATTGATAGAAAATAACATTTTGGATCTGTGAAAATTATATTCTACTATCAATGTAGTTGCAAGTAAAATAATTCTTACTGAAATATAAAAAAAAAATTATTAAAAAAATCGAATCTGACAATTTTTTATATTTTTTATCACTTTAGATCAAATATTTCTGGCTGTATCTTAACATCATAAGATTGATTGATTTATTAAAATGCATTTTACCGTCTCTAAAGTAATTTACATTATATTCCAACAAAATATGTTCATTTATTATACGAGTATATCCCATATAATGTAATAAACCTTCAAGGAATTTTACTAACATAATATCAAATACTTAACCCGACTGTCTAGTTCTAAGAAACGCTAAATAACTATGTACATGACGTATATTTCATTATAATAAATAATATTTTAACAGAAAGTTCAAGACCGTTTCCGGGACATAATAATTTGATTGATTTTTTTCATTGCAACTAATAAGAAATAATATTATTCATTTTTAAATTATCGAAAAACTCTACGGCTCTGAATGATTAAACATTTTCCGCTTCCGGTTGCTAACGAAGCACTTTAATCAGGTTACACCTAAATCAACCTGACCTTACAAAAGCCGAGATAATATTTTCAGCGACTGTGTCAACAGGACCAATTGAACTAATTAGCGCCCTCGAGTTAAGCGTTCCTTATTTTTAGGGACGCCTTTTTTCGATAAAAATATAAATGCACGGCGACGAATCATTTGTCGAGGACGGCGACGGGGCAGAACACCTTAACCGTTTAATTAGCCGGTAAAATATTCATTAATTAAAATCTTAAGTATTACCTCTTAAAGTTTTTTTTTTGCCCACTTGAACTTATGACAAAAAAAGACTTGGCGGTTTTTTTTTAACCGTTGGCATATTTTTTTCATAAATAATTATCTACATCCGCCACTTGCGCACGTTCAATGAGCTGTTTATCAGTCGAACACCATTCAGTTGAATACCAGACGATCCGTCTCATAGACAACATGGCACATTTTCGTTTACACAGCATTTCTCGTTTCAGTTGTGTTGTGTAATGATAAATCTGTGTACACAAACATGTATGCCACTAACCAACGGCCAAAAGACTTAACACGGTCAATGCGCATTGTTCCTGTGTGCAATATATACGGTTTAAATACTATGCCCTACAGTTTCCTGGGTCACTATCATCAATAAACCTATTGGGTGTAAATAGGAGCTAACAGCGTTTTGTTTATTTGCCAACCGTTTAGCTGTCACCAGTGATTATTTTACGACCTCGATGGGGCTGCGATCGGCCAACCCGATTGTACTGCAGCCGGACCCTTCTGCGAACATTGTTTGACCTCGACAAAACATACAACAAGGTCCGCCGACCCGATAATAAATAGTAATAGTACCGAAGAATAAAAACTAAACGAAACCCACTTTTATCGCTTGCGTTTATAGGAAAAATAATTTAAAAAATTTAAAAAGAAAACCCAGTTATTTTCTCTCCAAAACATTTTATCATGGATATGTTATCTGTTATCATTTTTTTCTTATCTCTTATCTCTAACTGAAAGTGAAAGTTTAACGCGAAACCGGTGACATGCAATTTCTCGTATCCATCCCAATAACGTATCCATATTTATATATTATTACAAAAGCTTGGGGGTTTATTTTTTTAAATTAGTATTTTGATTAGTATAACACCTATTCTAATATATATTTGTAATAGTAATACACATAATAGTAACAATCAAATCACAATAAGTCCTTTTATAATAATATTTCAGTATCACATAACATTTGATAGTTAATTGAATTTTTAGTTGCTATCATAATAGGCTGTAATGTATGGTTAAAAAATTGTAGGGTTGTGTATCAAATAAATGTTGTTTTACAAGTACTCGTATATTTAATAATTTGACCATTTTAAACACATTTTCCGTTCTATAGAATTATAGAATAGTATTAGTACTATTTAGTATATTTTGTACAAAATTCTTTTTAATACTTTATCCTTTGTGATATGCACATAAGAAAATATGTTACAGCTATAAAACATCAACTAAACGATTAACGATAACTGAATTACTTTGTTTCAGCTTCACTGATAGGATTAGCGAGCTGTGACTCTTCGTCTGGACCGGTTTATACGAGCCCCGATTCGTATTATGAGAGTCCCGAACCTGTGGCTTCGCCCGTCGTCTCACCAGATTCGCAAATCACTCAAACTGTTTATGGATTCTTAGATTTCACCACAACGATTGGTAATACAATTATGGTTTTCATGCCACAGAGTGCGTCTACTTCACCAGGTAATATAATATTGTACTTATCAAAAACTAAAAAAAAAACTTTTTTGGCATTTGAGATATTAAAAGTTGTTATTTTTTTTCATAAAAGGCACTACTACTGCTGAAGAACAACCATCAACTGAATCTTCGTTCACAACTATTGAAGAAAAACCTGTAACAAGGGAACAGTTGAATATGGAAGCAGTTGGTATTACTCCCAGTAAACCGATAAATTTACCGACCGATAACGCAAACGATGAACCATTAACGACCATAAATGATCCCTCGACTACTATGGAACCTACAACCATAACTACAAAAGAACCGACGACTGACGAGCCAACAACGAGTGAAACGTTCAAGAAACCCGAACAAGAAAAAAAGGCCACCGGATCTCCTGCAACGGTAAAGAAACCGTCGGCTAAACCAACAACGCCAATACCTCCAAAAGAAGAAACAAAACCGGCAGCTAAAATTAACAAAGTACCGGCCATAAGCTCCAAGGTTGTAGTGCTGACCGGTTCTAAAGTTGTCGAAAATGTAGTGACCAAAGTCGATGTCGTTGAAGGTAAACCCGAGCCTTCGAGCGTGCCAGAAAACGTAGTTTCCAGTAAAGTAGAAGTGATATCTGGAGAACCTGTCGAAGAACTAACCATCAACCATTTGGCGCCCACTCCAGAGTATGATTTCCTTTCCAGACAGCCGTCCGAGGTCGTGGACGAGACGTTCAAAGTCATCGATTTGAAACCCAGCGCTTCGCGGTTTGTGGTCGGCCAGAAAAGTCGCAATGCAGAGGGTAAACCACGGGCGTTCAATTCGGTATCGAACTTCAACATCGAAGAGGAACCCACCACCAATAAAGCAGCGAAAAAAGTTGCAGTGAAAATTTCTCCTTCTTCGTCCGGTGTTCGGATACTGAAAACGGCAGCACCGAAAGCGGCCAGCAGATCGCCCAACATTGAGCCTACCCCAGCAACGTCCGGTCTAGAAGACCAATCGTTGGAATACCTGGTTGGTTCCCAGCCGGGTTCAAACTTAGTTCGTCAATCTAGAAGACCGGTGATTGGCGGTGGAGTTAATAAAAATAAGTATTCGCCGACTCCAAAAAACAAACCTCGCGAATCCGAAGATTATCCGGCTGCAGAAGAAGAATCCAACGATTACCCTTCGGCTCTAAACGAAAACACGACCCCTAGTTATAGAAAGGGTTCCAAGCAATCCGCAAAACCTACCACGACGACCCAGAAAACTCCGAATTTCAAGCAAAACAGATTCAACAGGCCTACTACCGAAGCAGAATTGGAAGCAACTGAGGGTTCTAGTTTCCAACGGAGATTCTCTCCTAGCGGTAAACGTTATGAAAACAATGGCGTCGTGACTCCGGCCACTACTCGTAGGGCCTTCAAAAAACATTACCAACAACAAGAGCAACAACACCCTACACAGCCAAGTCACCAGCCCATACCGACTGCTCCATTGACATTCAAATCAAAATTAGTCCGACCAACCGGTAGGTGGGAGTACAAAACGTCTCCAAAACCCCGCGTGACGATTCGTCGCATCGACGACCTGCGCCATAACCAAGAAAATAACACTACTCCTTTGACACCACATTTCCCTGATGTACAAGTCGACAATGGCGACCAAGCGTTGGCTGGATCCGGTTTATTGCCTGCTTTACAGCACGACGATGATAACGATGTCCTTATTCAAGAAGTAGCTCCCTCGGCGACTGCTGAGACCATCAGAGTGGAGATATCTACACCCGCCGAGTTCAAGGATATTTACTACGAAATCGCCACTATCAAATCACCATACTCGTTCCAGGTAATGTCCATTTCTGTATCAAACTGCTAGTATAAAAACACTTTTCCCCTAATCTGGTTCCTTTCAGCAACTTGAAAATATTTAAACTTTTTCGCTGTCTTGGGATCTTATAAGTATCTTACATTATATGTTTCAAACCAATAAAAATTATAATGTCATAAATATCTAATTTGTAACGTTTACCGTTCTAGGTCGGTTCCGTAAAGAACACTAGGTTTATTACCGTGACCTCAACTTATCAAAAGAGCTTGGTCGAACAAACCGAAAGTCCACAACCCTCTAGAGCGGAACCTCTGTCAGAAAATATATTGGCTAGCACAGCTCCTAACCTCTATGGCCGTGAACAACCTATCGATTCAAGCGTGGCTACTTTGCCGCCAATCGCCTTGTCTCCGGATCAAGCCACACCGCCTTTGGAAACGATGACTGAAAGTTTCAGCACAACTGAACTGATGCTGAAGACGCATATATTGCCGGTAGTCCGAGGAAGTGATACCAGTAGTTATACTCTAATCCAGTCGTACAAAGTCACCAGACTAGTGACTGCAGTGAAGACACTGCCGCCGATGGAGGTGTACCAGTTTGTGCCCAGCAAAACTTTGAACGAGTTCAACACGCGACTGGACGAGGCCGGATCAGAACTTCATTTGGAACTCGAATACGGCGATAACAACAACGACGACGATTCACATCCAAATGCAGCCAAAGCGTTCTTGGACAGTCTCGATTTGGCGCATGTGGGTTCAGATTTTGACATTTCGCAGATGGACAAGACCAACGGGCTACGTCTAAAGAAAGCGCACAAATTCCCCAGTGTCGCCAACATTACCGCGACAACGCCGGCGCCGCCGACCATGAGTCCCGAACAACTCCAGCAGCTGGCCCTGTACCGGCTTTTGAATCCCAACGTCCCGATGCCGGCTCCGGTTGTCACCGCCTCTCGGCCGGTTCTCAAGTTGGAAACCGTATACGAAACGCACGCTTTGCCCGTGGTAAACGGCGGCAGCACGTACTACACCACCTTGTCCAGGCCAGTGGGTACGGTGACCAAGACAGACTATGAACTCTACACCACCACACTGGCCATTCCTCAACCGTCGGCTCTGTTTCCCCAACAGCCGTCTATCCTGCAACCGCAGCCGACCCTATTCCCACAGCCGTCCCTGTTCCCTCAGCAACCCACTCCGTTCCCACCCCAGCCAACCCTGTTCCCGCAACAGCCGTCGTTCACCATAATGTCCACGCCGGTCGTCACCCAGTCGATGGTCACGCAGACGGACAGCAGAGTCCTCAAGCTGACATTCGGCGCCAAGACCGCATACACCACCCTGTACTCCAGCTCTGTTTTTCCCACGCAGGTCACATCGTACTTGACACAGTCCGTTCCTGTACAACCCACCATAGCCCAGTTTCCTAACTTCATACCGTACGGCGGGTATCCTTTCATCGGATAATAATCGCCCAATCGCGACGCGTGCCATTCACTATATTCGGCTGGACATCCGAAGTCATGATTTGTAAATAAAATAAAAAAATATTCTTATTAATCCAATAAGAACGCTCAAAATGTTTGACGTTACGACCACGTACTATAAGGTTTTATTTTAACAAACCGTTGTAAATTGTTTTTTATATAAATTAAGATTTAATTTTTCAACACAATCTTTGTTCGAAACGAATTCGGGTTGTAATTTTGAATTCTCGTTACTGTTTACGGAGCTATTGACACCATTTGCGTGATTAAAACTAGTGAAAATGTATTATATATATAAAAAAAAAAAACAACACTAGTTTATTTCCATTAAAATCTCGATGCCAACGAATCTCGAAAATTGCAAAAAAAAAAATTTATAATATTAAAAAAAAAATAAAACAACACGAAATTTGTTACCTGGAGAGTTTTGCGCATTTGGTGTCTCACTTTGTTAATTTTATTATAAGGCATCGTTTGTACGTTTTATGTTTAACGCAATTTTTTTTTTATTCAATTGAAAAAACTATCCAAATTATACCACAGAGCCCGTCCATTCATTTATCACCCTAACGGGATCGAACTTTGAAAGTCGGCAAAAAGTTCGCAGAGTATCTTTTCACATTCACCTCATAAACCTTCCTTTCCTCTCCTCGAAGTTTTTTCCTCGGGGTTAAATAACAAATCTGGATGTCAGTTTTGATTAATTACTTGTATCCCCAGTTGAAAATAATTTCTCAAGAAAGATACCTATTGCCAAATACTGGTGGGGAATATATATATATATATATATTTACATAATATAAAGGTTTTTACTAAAATAATTGTAGGGCATAGTGTAATTATTTTTATATTATAAACTATAATATAAGTGTACTGTATTGTATTGTATTAAATTAAAATTATGTTTTATATTTTTACCATGTAAACTAATTTGTTTGTATTAGTTAATAAAACTATTTGTACAGTTTAAATTTGATATTAGAATCATTTTTTAAATATACACCAAATTGTATCCAAGACGTTTTTTATCCTCATCCCGTATAATTTGCGCAGTGCACTAGTATTGTGGCTAATTTATGTAGAATTAAGAAATAATTAGAATAATTATTCGGTTCATCCTATTATTAATACCTTACAAGAGATTGCATTTGTAAATATTATGTAAAATAGCTGCCAGTTATTATAATCAAATATTTTTTTTTTTACTAATTTTATACATATTTTACATTCGGTACATTTTGCACACTAGATAATAGTTTCAGCTGGTATAAATTACATCCAACGTATTTGTGCATAGTGATATAATATATTTAGGGCTAGTACATCAAAATTGTCACCGCTAATGTAGACTACCTCCCCGGGCAGCTTCACCATAATAGTTAACTACCGGCCGGAGGACACTATAGATGGTACATTAAAATGGCATTGGCAACACACTGATTTATACCTTTAAGGCTTGCTACAATGGCTGGTAAATTACAATAATTATAGTATATTGTTATTACACGAGCCGCATAGCTGTATGAAATGCATAAATGATGTTAAGTACGACGGTGTTTTGGAATGAAATTAAGTGTTGTAGAAAACTTGTACCCACAAATTTGAAAAAAGTCACTTTAGGTAAACACTACATTATAAAATAAGAGTTTCTATAAGTCTCGTAGAATTATCTAAATTTAAAAGCATTATTGTAAAGATAAAACAGCTTTGTACCAAATAAACTTTGCATGAAATTTAGTAAACCATCATATTTATAAATCTAAAATTATTTCGACTCAATTTTAAATGTTTCATACAACATAATAACATCTTATGAAGACGTTTGTACCTACATCAAAGCTATTTGAATCAAAGGATTATGTTTCTTAAAGCTAACAGCTATATAATATTGACGAATGGTGACTTAAAATAGATTTAAATTAACAAATCCAACGCAACTTTGACATCGACCCTTTGTACAATTTCAATATGGTTATCAAGATAAATTTTTAATCAAGTGTAAATATATTATCACACCAAGTTTTAGGGTTTTACTTTGATTGAATAACATGTCAAAGCCACAACAACGTCAATGTTATTCTCTGTAAGTTCTAACACAAAAGCTCAGAGTATTTACACAAATAATTAATTTTGGATTTTTACAATACAACAATTATAACGTTATACAATACAAGTTGTTGAGAGTTAAGGCCTTAATATATATTTTAAAGTAGTGATGCGAATACGCACCGCACTCCCTACCAGCTACGGGAATAACATTATGATACATTACATTATAAATTTTACTCATATTAACTCATAAGAATGTGTACATACATATTTTTATCAATTTCATACATATAAATACAAGTTTAACGGGGCTCATCGTCAATAGAACTCATTACTATTGAACTTTGCCGAGCGGTTTTATATTATGTTAGGCGGTAACTAGTAATGAAATAAAAAAAATCCAAAACGTTATTATTTTTACAAGTTTCTTATCAATTGCTTGGATCAAAATATACGGAGCATTATGAGATCAGATTTTCTCGGCTTTTCTCCGGTTTTCGATTAGTGCATAATATTTGCCATGCACAGGCACGTGAATTATTAATCGCACGGCAAAGCAACGATATGTCGCTTATCCGTAACGTCAAATCTATTGTTAGAACGTGCACGTGTGCATAGATTTAATATTAATTTAGTTGCGACGGCCAAAGTTTCCATCGCTGCAAATCCCTTCTCTATAGCCCCCGTAAACCCTGTATAGTTTACGATATCCATGTCACTCGTCTAGAAGACACTGTTAGATTATTCATCCGGTGTACGTGGATCCGTACCTGTGTGCTCATGTGGATAACAGCTAAAATAGGGACGGAATTGGCCATGTGTACTGATGACAAAATTGCCTCCGCGAAGACTGTAAAGGTCGCATGATCGAATTAAACCCAGAGTCACTTGCGGCGTTTATTTAATTAGTTGTTATCATGAATATTATGTTACTGGTCTGGATACAAGCAACTGTAAAATGTCACCATTTCGCTTTACAGTTTCACTTACGGTAAGTGATAAGAGATAATTGATAAGAAATAAGTGATAAGAGACCACAGATATAATTATAATAAAAACTAGATTGCTAAGTGTACGTGTTGCACCAAACTTGTTATCTATTGGTAAATTATTTACCACCGTAATAAACTAACTTTTGTTAAATTAACATTTGTTAAATTTACGAGTGTTGCTCAAACGTTGTTTTGTATTCAGGTTATTACCTGTACACTGGTTATCGAATAAATGGTATCAGCAGTAGGAGTTAATATTATTATCATACGGGGTCTAATCAATGATAAACTAATAACGCACATTTCCATTATCACCATTTTAACGCAAAACACTGATAACAAAATTGAACTATACATACATTTTTACATAGCTATAAACGACCATCTAATTTAACTCGTGATAAAGTACATTTTTAACAAAAGATAAAATTTAAAACAGGGTTTATGCAACAGAATTTATTTTAACTCCAGTTAAACGAGTTTATCTCTGTGTAAATATTTGGTGCAACCCGCCTTAGTGCCAATAGAGATAATTGAAGTTACTATTTTCAGCCATTTTTGTGAGAATTGAACCTAATTACATGTTTATAACTGTGGTTATAGTATTTAAAAGTTAAGTTGATAACACAGAATCATAGATATATAATTATTTTATACACGTATAAATCCCACAAAAATGGCCAACGTCGTCGTTCTATAGAAATCTAGTATATTTATATATGAGGCGTTGCGTGGCAAAGTCAGCGATCTCTACTTTCTTTGAAATAAATGTTTATACATTTTCTTATAATATTTTTCACTCTACATCGACTGGTGACACTGATTTTCATCACATATAATTCCCCATAGAGATAAAACGTTTCAAAAATAGGTAATTGCGGCAGAGGGAGTGCAGAAGGAAATCAGATTTTTTAAATTTACCAAAAATCACTGCGTCTGGAGATTGTCGACATTGCCACGCAACGCCTCGTATATAAAAGCTAATTTAAACATAGATATGTTATCAGATTTTATCTCTTATCTATTATGTGTAAATCTCTATGTAAAAAACAAAACAAAACGGACAAGAGATAAGTAATAAATGATAAGAGATAACATAATATCCATGATTAAAATATGTTTTTCCGTATTACTGTTTGACTAAACTGTCGGAACGTTTCATTTGCTTTGGTTAAACTTAAGTGCGGTGAAATCAATCTAATCAACGTGCTCAATAAAATTGTCGAGTGTTCGCGTTGTTAGCATTGTGAGATGGTAATATTATATTAATTTATTACAAGACCGCGTAGAGTAGCAAATCAACAATCCCAGTGTGTCTGTGGCTGCCACCTCGGCCGGTGTAAGATAAGCGACAATTAATTAGACCATTTATTTGCAACCGGAAACCTCGTACTTAATAATGTATTCATTCAAATACGAGGGGTCCTAACAAGGCGGCCGTGGCGGCAAGGGGAGGTACGACGCATTTTATCGGGGTTTAAAAGTTCAACTTGCTCCACCGCACCGCGCCCGTGACCTGTTTGATTTATTAAAGGAAATTGCCGTATCGCTTTTACCTTTTGTTATTATGATTATTATTATTATTATTTAGGTATGTATACGAGCGGCGCAAATATAATATCATAATGCCCCGGCCACCGCGGTAGGTATTTATTATATTATGTATACATATTAGTATTTTATACACAACGTTTAGAGCGGCAACGGATGCTTTGAATTTATGGCATACCGAAACGACGTTTAACGCGGGTAATAATTATTATTCTCGGCTTTTGTCGCTTAAGTATGTAAATATCGGACGTCACGGTCAAACCGTATAGAATCAAAACTCGAATAGGGTTGGGGTGGTATTTGTGCGGCACAAAATAACGATAGCAAATTTGCCATTGTGCTGATTACACATTAGCTGATTGGAGAGCGGAATTTGGTTCTTTACTCACTAGTACTGTAGTAATATGTTGACCATTCCAAGAGGACGACGATCAAATTACTTAGAAGCTCTTATGGAACAGTCAAAGAGAGCTAGCCCACGCAGATGCCAACCACGGGTACCAGAACGGATGATTTTGGTCATTTGCCAAGACCACAGATCAAAAGAGGATTTTGTAAGGTACCCGCACCATCATATGTAAGGGATTTACACACTTCAAAGTGAAATTATCGTTATATATGTGTAGTGAGAACAAAAGAGTGTCTTTAAGAAGTTCCAAATGCAGTAATCTAAAATTATTATTATATATACTATGATAAAAGCAGATTATATAATTATTTTATGTATATATTTTATTATTATGAACATTCACATACAATTTAAGTGTACACATTTTTCCTCAATTGTGTTATGTTTAAAAACCCCTATGCGATTAACCAAGGCTGGAACAAAGTTTTAATTTCAATTCAATTTATTACTATTTTTTTGTACATACTTGTTGTAATTGTACAGACAATAGTTTTTCATACTATTATAAACATAATATATGTATTGCTTTGGTGCGCAGCGTCACACATTTGGGCGCGACAAAATGAAAATTCTTTTTCTCCAAACATAAGTCTAATTTTTTTTTGAAGTTAACAAGCGGCAACAGCCGAGGAATATAATAAATTTTAAATCTATCCCGGCTGTTGGAAAAAGACTGTGCCGGATAAAATAAGAGTAGCTGAGTAGCCTCGGAAATAGTGTGTGACGTGTAAAGCTTCTTCGGCGACGTCCCCAGCGGAGCCGTCACGTTTGTGTTGTCATAAAGTTTAGAAACTTAGGGTTACGGGGCGGTGACGAGAGGGGAGGGGGGGGGGGGTGGCGAGTAGCGTTTTATCTTTTCTGTTTTTTCCCCGTTAACCTCCAAAACAAAAATACAACAGCAGACGGGCGGCAATGTGTGTGGGTTCCATTATCGCGGCCACGAGACGATACCATCTGGGGACTTCATTATTTCCAGC